GAGTTGATTACGTCATTATGAAATAAGATTAAGATTGTTTTGTCTATTAGTGTATACTTTGAAAAGAACAACTTAGATCAATGGTTTATGGAACAAATGTAAACAAGGGGAAAAATGGTTTGCTCAGCGTTTTTTCCTTTACGGGCTTATGTTATTATATAATCACGAATCGATGTTAGTTTGATCATCATTAGAAACCTGAAGGTACTGGACGGATATTTTCTACTAGTTTGAAACTATTCAGTAGTGCTTATTCACGACCTAATCTTGTTGAATATGTTAGATAGTTATCCGAACGTTGATGTTTAAGCAATTAATCGAATTGATGAAAGTTAGACATTACCACCGTTTGGACGCGAGCTCAGTGATCCTGAGTTCGATTCCTAGATATGGTGTCGTAGATGTTCATTTCTGTTGAGTTCCATATGAAAGAGAAAGAGACCTTCAGTGTTTCTATGTTTTCAATGATAATCAAACATCAGTTCACTTTTTAAATCCTACAAAATAACACTGTCATCTCCACAAAGTCATAACTTACATCGTTCTAACATGTTGGAATTATTATGAATGACGCTGATTGAATGATGAATGAAGTATAAATGATGAACTGATGAATTTCAATTCAAACGTATAGTACTTATTAAGTGTATTAAAGTTATTGATTGACATTCTTTGTATGATTGGTGTATGAGTGTTGCTTACTTATTTACTTACTTAATTACACCTGTTACTCCCAAAGGAGCATAGGCCGCCGACCAGCATTCTCCAACTCACTCTGTTCTGGGCCTTCTTTTCTAGTTCCATCCAACTCTTGTTCATTCTTCTCATGTCTATCTCCATTTCTCGGCGTAATGTGTTCTTTGGTCATCCTCTTTTCCTTTCGCCTTGAGGATTCCATGTGATAGCTTGTCTTGTGACGCATTTCGGTGCTTTCCTCAATGTGTATCCTATCCATTTCCAGCGCTTCTTCCTGACTTCTTCCTCCGTTGGGATCTGGTTTGTTCTCATGAGTGTTGCTAACAAGGTATTATTCATAATGAAGCGATAAATTTTCAGTCTTACCTAGATTTCACTGACTATCCAATCGCTAAGATAAACAGTATTTACCTTAGTTGACTTTTTTAATGAAAATGATGTTGTTCGTAGTTCCTACGATCGAAGTTATCTGAAAAATCTTATTCTATAAGCTTGAGAAATATGTCAAGTATGCCAAATGAATTGAAACAAAGATTGAACGACTATGAACTTTTATTAACTTTAAATGAATAGTTTGAGAGTATGGCAAAACACATTTGTTATTGATATAGTTCAGGAGTCTCAATCGGTGTGAATTCAGCATTAATCCATACTCACTTACTTACTTAATTACGGCTGTTACTCCAAATAGAGCATAGGCTACCGGCCACTATTCTCCAAATCATTCTGTCCTGGGCCTTCTTTTCTAGTTCTATCCAATTTTTATTCAATCTTCTCATTTCTGTTTCCATTTCTCGAAGTGATGTGTCCTTTGATCTTTCTATTCTCTTTTGGCCTTCAAGATTACAAGCAAGGGCTTGCATTATGAGGCAGTTCGGTGTTTTCCTCAATATGTGTTCTGTCCTCTTCCAGCACTTCTTCCTGATTTCTTCCTCCGTTGGAATCTTGTTTGTCCTCTCCCACAGTGGGTTGTTGCTGATAATGTCTGGCCAACGGATCTGAAGTATTTTGCGTAGACAGCTGTTAATAAACACCTGTATCTTCTGGATGATGGCTTTCGTTGTTGTCAAAGTTTCTGCCCATACACTAGAACTGTCTTGACATTTGTATTGAAGATGTTGACTTTGGTGTTAGTTGACAGACAGTTGTTTTGAGTTCCATATTTTCTTCAGTTGTAAATGTGCTGCTCTTGCTTTGCCAATCCGCGCCTTCACATCTACATCAGATCCACTGTGTACATCAAGGATACTGTCCATATATGTAAAGGTTTTTATATCTTCCAAATCTTCTCTGTCAAGTGTGATTGGATTGGTGCATTCTGTGTTGTATCGGAGAATCCTGCTTTTCCCTTTGTGTAAATTGAGACCTACTGCTGCTGAGGCTGCTGCCACATTAGTCGTCTTCTCCTGCATTTGTTATTGCGTATGGGATAGAAGAGCCAGATCAACTGCGAAGTGTAGATCATCCAGTTGCATCCTAGTTGTCCACTGTATTCCATGCTTCACCTCAGATGTTAACAGCTTCATAATCCAGTCAATCACTAGGTGACCAGCATTCTCCAACTCACTCTATTCTCAGCTTTCTTTTCTAGTTCTATCCAAATGTTGTTCATTCTTCTCATGTCTCTATCTCCCTCACCATTTCTCAGCGTATTGAGTTCTTTAATCTTCCTGGTCTCCTATTTCTCCTTTAGCCTTGAGGATTCCAAATGACGGCTTGCCTTGTGACATTCACTGGTTCAAATTACATACATAATATGGATTATATTGTTTGTCTTACATAATGAATTTAATCGTTTAAAAATTCAATTTTTGAGAAAAAAAAACAAAACAAAGTTTTACTAATCAATAAAGATTGATTTTATGCAAATGAGAACAGTTGACGTAACTATAGTAACGGACAGAAGATTTAATCTCTTTGTGCTTATCCGTCGTCATAGTGAACTACAGAGGCATTATAAAAGGATATGGATATGGACGGATAGATAGATAAATAAATAAATAAATAATGAGATGTATTTTATGACTGAAGGTTAATTAAAACAATTTAATGTCTACCCTTTTCGAAGTATCGATTGAGTATGATATTTATGCAATGATTTATCTTATCAGAATGGCGGTTTTATGAAGATTGTAATCATTTATAATCGTTGAATTCATGAGTCGGTTAAAGCTAGAGTGCCATAGACAATCTAGAATCACTGGATGACTGTCTCGTTTTAGTGTGAAACTACACGACTCCGCAAGTGGGACTCAAACCTCGGAGCATCGGTCACCTGAGAGCATGATATGGCCGTTTCGTCCGGTTGTGGGACTCCTCAACAGTGAGAATCCAGGACTCCGCATGTGGGACTCAAACCCAGGACCTTCGGTCACCTGAGAATATTCTATGGCCGTTTTGTCATAGTATGGGATTTCTCAACAGTGTACTCTTAAGATCCCACACACAGGATACGAACCCAGGACTTTTAGTGTTAATGTTGAACTTCAACTCATCCACGATATTACAGGTTCGTCAATCATTGTCTTTAGTTATTAAGTGCCTCTATAACACACAAGACTACTCACTAGAACTTCAGGAAATACCTTATGAAGTCAGTCACTAGAACGAAATGACCACTTCCATGTTTGTTTTTTCTATGATGATCTGTTTAACTTTAATCAATTCTCAAAACTTATTCATTTATTCAATTATAAATAAATTAGACTTTGAACTGATGAGTTTTTGTTGTTGTTGAGTAAACAAATGAACAAACTACATTTTATCAAATACATCAATTCTATTTTGTTTTAATAATTAAAATGAATCATTCTATTGTCAAATCAAAATACATGAGTATTATGATAATAAACGATAAAAATTATCATTCTATGACCGACCTTTGAACGACGCTAAAGTGACTTTGAGAATGTCTACTCACCTATTAGATAGATATGTGCTACAAAAATCATTCAAATTGTGTAAGAGCTGGAATACTGCCTGAGTGCCTTAACCGAAGCAGGTGGTTTCCTTAAGAAGCTACACTTGAAGCTTTAGACTTAAAGGTTCGATCTATAAGGAAGTGGAGCAACGTCAAGAGATGAAATTCCATGGTAGTCGGTGGCCAGTAATTGGTTCATGCGCCATTTGTTCCCTCAAGATCTTGGAACCCTTGTGCACCATTGATTTGGAACTAGGGTTCTTCAACTCTCCTAGGTAGATGCTCCGTATCCACTGACCCGGTTAATACGTCGGACATTCTCTTTTCGTCTTTTCAATCTCGTAAACAATATCCCTCCCCATGAGAAAGTAGTGATTAGGGCTTCCCTGTCAGTAGTTGTATGCATTTGGAGATGGAGAGCTGACTCTTCCCACTCTCGGCTGTACCAGGGCCGAGATAAATCAATTAATGGAGCCTAATTATAAGTATTATTGAGAGAAGATGAACCCATTTCACCTTAATCCTTGTCTTTTATTGAAACAAATTCATTAGAAGAGCTCTAAGATTGATTGAATTATAGATCAGCGCTTAAAATCTGAATGAAAAAAAATCGCTCAAGATTTACTGAGTTATTTTTAAGACTCAACTTTTCTTCAGAATTAGAGCACTCAAGTATTCTGGTAAGTGACATAAATTAAACTATTACACTAGTTGAGATCATGAGTCAATTGAAGCTAGACCACCATGGAAAACCTGGAAGCATTGGACGGCATTTTTGTCCTAATACGGGACTCCTCAGCAACGCGCATCTACGATCCCGTCCCCCGCGAGATTCGAACTCAGGACCTATCAGTCTCGCATTTGAAAGCTTAACCTCTAGACCACTGATATGGCATCCAATAGTAAAAATGTCTAACTTCAAGATATCCACAAATTTGAGTAACACATCCAACATCGGCCTGGGTTCGGACCTCGCAGGGGGGCGCGATTGTGTAAGAACACTGCTGAGGAGTCCCATATTAGGACGAAACGGCCCTACAGTGCTTCCAGGTTTTTCATAATGGTCTAGCTTCAACTGATTCATAATTTAAACTAGTGAAATTTCTAAAATCTCCACAAAACCCCTTCTGATAACCAAAAAAGCTTAAACGACAATACTCAAACTTCGTTTCTGAATGTTATGTTCTCATAAAAGTCAATATGAGCACCGATTGTGTGAGTATCATTTATTACATAACAGATATCCTATTCTATTTCTATTGTAATAGATAGCATTATATAGCATTAGTTGTATTGACAAAATCTATCTGAAATACTTCATTTGAATAAACTTTCTACTTGGATCAGATTTATTGACATTCTGTTTCTAATCTGATCATTTTAGTTGCCTAATTCAATTCTCGAAGCAAATGCTGGATTTAAACATGAAATTTCAATTGGATCATCAACAAGACAATCAACTGAAGAAGAACTTGCATGGGGTGTAGATACACGTATTACAGTACCACCAAGACATTCTGCTTTCGCTGAGGTTAGTTAACTTGTTTATAATATAAATATGATATTTGGTATACATGTTGAATTATTTTTTATTGACTAAATCAATATTACTACCATGGTGAATGCTACTTATATTTGCAGATATAAGTAGTATGTAACACCTATCAAAAGAAGGTTGAGAAGATTAAACTGAATAAAACAGAAAGGGAAACATAAAGGAATTGAGAATCGGAGGGTTGTAAAGGACAAACTGATGGGAGGATGTACAAATGGAGTAGTTGGTGTATAGTTTTTATAGTTTAAGAAGATACTCTGTAATTTTATATTAACCAATAAATTGGTTCCCCCCATGTAAGTTTCAGTTCACTACACTTCTACTGTTACCATCAAACTTTTTTGTTGGTTGACACAAGTCAGTGTTCCACGTACAACAAAAGTACCTTAAAGATTACTGTTTCGCCTTACTGAAGAGTATTAACAAGGATGAAAACTAGGTCTGGCTGAGTTTTCTTCTGAAAACTTCCTATAGACAATTTAAAATTGTCCAATGTTCCTTAAGATTTTAGTGACATAAAATGTTTAGATTCACTAACATGGCTTTTAGGGGTAATAGATCAGGAATTCTGTTTGGCTTATGAGTTTTGTGCTAGTTGACACTCATCAACGTGGTTTTACAGACCCCTATAAAGTGGTAACTAATTTAAAAGTTGAAATCATGAGTCAATGGAAACTAGACCACCATAGAAAACTTGAAAGCGTTGGACGGCCGTTTCGTGGATTAATTGAAGTTAGACATTAACACTATCGGATGACGGCCAGCTCAGTGCGAGGCCGATAGGCCCTGGGTCCGAGTCCTGTGAGGTGGGATCGTGGATGCATACCGCTAAGGAGTCCCACCACGGGACGAAACGGTCATCCAGTGTCTCCAGATTTTCAGTGGTGGTCTAGCATCAATCAGTTCATGATCTCAATCAAAAACTTAACAATCACCATAACCCCATGCTCACTAGTGACTAGCTTAATGGTGTGATTCTTCGAGTTCTAGTGAGAAGCCGTGACCAGTGGAGCTAATCTGAGTCAGGTTATACAGTTATCTACTTCAGACAATGTAACATGACCGCGCAATTTCTTGGATTGGCTAAAGTTTGACATTAACACCATTGGATGTCGACCAGCTCAGTGTTCTAGAGGTTAAGTGTTTGTGCGCAAAATCGGAGGTCCTGGGTCGAAGTTTCGATTGCGGTATCGTAATCGCACATTGCTGAAGATTCTTTTAATGGGAAAACACATCCATCCAATACTTCTAGGTTCTTATTAGTAGTATAACACTGATCGATTTATGATCTCGATCAAAAACGTGAAAAAATTCCACACAATTCTATACTGATAAACATTTCTGATTGTTTATGACTAATTCCATGCACTTTGAGATCCAGTGCTTTTTTCATAATGACTGACAATAATCTTAAATGATAAATCTGTACAAAACAAAAATCTAAGTGCAAACTACCTCCCTAATTGGATTGTATAAGGTTTAGTACAATTTTGTTTACGTTATTGTATCTTCATAGAGATAAGGTCAGTACAATCAAAAATGTTTATCGAAAAATCGATATTCGGATAGGTTTCTTTCGTTTATGCATGTGAGAATCAATACTAATCACCGTTTATTTGTGACCTACATTCAATATCATAGAGAAATAATGGTCTTACTATTAATTTAATACTAATCCATATATGCTCACTAATGATTGGCTTCAAGGTGTATATCCTGGAGTTCTAGCGAGAAGCAGTGACCATTGGAGTTTAACTGGGTCAGTTGTAAGATAGTCGCTCAATTTTGTGGATTAGTTGAAGTTAGACATTAACACCATTGGATGCCAACTCAGTGATCTATAGGTCCTGAATTCGAATCTCACGCGCTGCTGAAGAGTCCCACAACAGAACGAAACAGCTGTTTAATGCTTCCAGGTTTGCCATGGTTGTCTGGTTTCAATTGACTTATGATCGTAACTATTGTTATTTGAATAACTTCACAGTTTATTAGTAATAATTTATTGTTTTGAATTCAGTAGTTATTATTTGGAATACTTACTTACACATGTTACCCTTCCTGGAGGACTATAGGATGTCCACCAGCATTGTCTGCCTAACTCTATCCTGGGCAGTCTTTCGCAGCTCTTTCCAGCTGTTATTCATGCTTTTCATGTATGCTTCCAATTCTTGACCCAATGTGTTCTTTGATTTACCCCTTCTTCTTTTCCCTTCAGGTTCTAAGTTAGATTTTACTTCATGATTCAGTCTGGTAATTTCCGTAATCGATATCCTCTTATCCTCCGGCGTCTTGATTTCCTCTTTAGATAGAAACTGGTTTGTTCTCTTCTATGGTAGGTTGTTGCTGATGGTGTCCGATCAACGGACATTGAGTATCTTGTGTAGGCAATTGTTTATAAATACTTGTACTGTTTTGATGATAGTTGTAACAGTTCTCCAAGTTTCAGATGCGTACAGTAGAACTATCTTGATGTTCAGTTTGAAGTTTCTCACTTTGGTGTTGGTTAACAGTTATTTTAAGTTCTATATGTTCTTCAACTGTAGAAATGTCGACCTTGTTTTGTCAATCCTTAGCTTTACATCTGCATCAGATCCTGCGTGTTCACAGATGATATTACCCAGGTACGGGAAAGATTTCACGTCTTCCAAAGTTTTTCCATCAAATGTGATTTGGTTGGTGTTCTCCGTGTTGTATTGGAGGATGTCACCCTTCCCCTTGTGTATGTTGAGGGCTACTTCTACAGAGACTGCTGCTACCCTGTTTGTTGTCACCTGTATTTGATGATGTGAATGGGATAGAAGAGTTAGGTGATCTGCGAAGTCCAAATCGTCTAGTTGCATCCAAGCTGCCCATTTTATTCCATGCTTCCCCTTAGATACTGAGGTGTTCATAATCTAGTCAACCACCAGAAGAAAGAGAAAGGGAGAGAGTAAGCAACGTCGTCTGAAACCGGTCCTCACTTGGAAGTGTGTGTCAGCTGTTCTCCATGCACATCTTTGCAGTGTGGTCCGTCATATGAATTCCGTATGATGTTGTCGATCTTCTCGGATACACCATAGTGTCGAACAAGGTCCTATAAGGTCGTTCTATCCACATTATAAAACAATTTTTCATAGTCAAAGAAGTTGGAGTATGATGACGAGTTCCATTCAATCAATTGCTCAACAATGATCTATACTGTCGCGATTTCGTCGATACAGAATCAATCCTCACGGAATCCAGTTTATGTATCTCGAAGTTGATTGTCTAGTGAATCTTTCATCCAGCTCAGCAACACTCTGTCGAAAATCTTTCCTGGTACCGATAGTAATGTGATGCTTTTGTAGTTGACTTCTCACATTTACTCAGTTATTCTTTCTTTAGTATCTTTGTGAGGTATCCTTCTTTCCAGTATGTCGGCCCCTGTTATTTGGAATACAGATGACAATATTTATTCATTTGATTTGTGGGTTCACAAAGTTAATGAATTTCTAATGTTAATGATACAACTTATTCATTTCTTTAAGTCCTTCGACGAGACTATAATTTATCACGTATTAGTTAACAGGTCTCGGCTTTTGGCGCTAAATTCATTCATCCATTTGGCTAAATAGAGTCTTGGCATTATAGCTGATATCAGTTCGTGATGAAAACCCTTAATGTAATTCATAACTTTGACCATCAACTGTTAATCACAGTTCGAAGTCCTCACACTGGTTTATAACTCTCATTTAGTCCTGATTATTAGGTGAACACTCTCCAGGTCAGTCTAGCGTCGCTCAAAGGTTGTCCATAAATTATTGTCTCACTCAAATTTACTTTTAGGGTTTCGTGTGATCTTGATCTTCCAAAACTTTCCGTAAACATCATTATCAGAAACGTGATCCTTCATATTTCAAGATGTTTCTGAAAAGGTTTTATTCACTGCTAAGTAGATAAAACATTCCTTAGAGTCTAATGAGCTCCTAATGAGTTTGATAAGGGATAGATTTGAACTTCTCAAATAATAATAATTAACCTTCACATTAGTGAGATGAAATATGGTAGTTAACATTTCTAACTTCAATCAATTCACGATTTTACTAAGATTAAAATCTATCAATCCTCACTAACTCCTGTTTCAGCAAACCGTCGTGTAATTAACTGGTGACTAACATAGAGAGGTAAGTTGGATCTATTATAACTTGTGGCCCTGTACTCTATTAATCTATATGACATAATGATACCGCCAATCAGAGTACAGTGATTTATTGACCGGACCAATGATGAGCAGCCTCGAATCATTATGAGTCCTTCTTCTCACCCACTCCTGCCTGCCTGTTAAGTCCAGAACACCAATCTCAGCCTCTGCAATATGAATCATTTATTTCAAACATATTGGGTTTATATACACACTAAACAGACCACATTGTACCATAAACTGGAAAATACACATTTGTACAAGATCTAGCCGAAAGTAGCTTTGAATGTGGGAGATAGAAATTGATAAACTGGGCCTAACTCAAGAACGGTCAATCGTATCATAATAGTTTACAGGTCAAAATACAGCTTATATATATATATATATATCGTAGAGGTCCATAAATGAAAACTGATAGTTACCATTCACTATTCTCGACGGAATATAAAAGAATCCGCTGTCGAAGCTGAAATAAATATCAGCTATACTTGTTTATTATCAAGAGTTATCTGAAGTTAAAAATGTCGACCACCGGATGTTAACTCAATCACTTGAAGATGAAGCACTTTCAATGAAACTTCATTACACTAGATTCTATTCCTTTTACGATTATGAGTGGTTGTTCTCAGCTGTAGAGTCCCATTGATTTCAATGTTTTATCATCCAATCTTCATTATTTCTAATGAATATGGGTCATGTTCTTCATCTATTATGAAATTAATCATCTCCAGTTATTAAGTACTTACATATGTAAACGTAAATAACACACTGCTTATACTTTTACTACATCTACCATTATGGGATCTGAATTGACAATTGTATCTCTGTGTTAATATGTTGCTAAGTACAAATAATCATTAACTTGTTCATTGAGTATGATATTTATATCAATAATGGTTAAGGATAGATATCCCTTTCATTTTTTAATAGTTGAATTCATGAGTCGATCAATGTTAGAAATCTGGAAGCACTGGATGGCAGTTTCTCTATAGCATGGGATTCCTCAGCAGTGCGCATCCATGATCCCTTATGTGGGACTCGAACCCAGGACTTTCAGTCACGCGGGCGAACGTTTAACCTCTAGACCACTTAACCGGCTTCTGATGGTGTTAATATCTAACTTCAATCAATCCATGAAATTACACGAGTGTCCACCATTGTCTTCAGTGAGTAACTGTCTTATAATAGCCACAGGTAAACTCCACTGATTTTTGAGGCCCTGACTCCAGTGACATCGTATGATTGATGGTTATATTGAAATAAATTTCAAATACGTATATTTCATATAATCGTTGATTCAGATAAACGACCAGAGTAACAAAGCGAAGAGAAGAGAGCGAAGCGAAATGAAGCGCAATGGAGAAGACCTATGAGCCAATTTGTTTTAATCAAACGTTAATCAATATTTATAGCCGAACAAAAATAAGTTACAGGCATATGATGAGTAAGATAAGATATGTAAACACACATATGTTTACATAAAAACAGTTAAGGTTGATAAGCCAATAATTAGCAAAGTCAAAATGTAACTTGAGAAGAATAGATAAATCAGTTTGTCCAGAAGGTAGAATAAACTATAGTAAGTTCGATATAAGACAAACCGCTACTACATGGTCATGGCTACGGTTATTCACTAGAAGTCTACGATGCACGTCTTGGAGCCGATCAATAGTGAGCACATGATGATTATTATCAGAATGAAGGTTTTTTTTGGAAATTTTAGTAATTTATTAATTGGATTCATGAGTTGACCTAAGCTAGACTAACATGAGCCCCCAAATGCTCTGATATGGCCGGGAGTTGGAAGAGTTCGCTCTCTCTTTCAAAATGCCCTCACGTGGTCACGCGTATATAGCTTCTGCCAAGAGAGTCCTACTCACTGCCTTCTCTAGATGAGGGTGTCCTGCATGAAATTGAGAGTACGAGGAGCAAATATCCGGCAGGAGCTTAAACAGGGTTGGTGGACACGGGGAGTCCACCTAGAAGAGTTGGAAAACCCTCATTTCAAACCAATGGTGCACATGAGTTCCAGTATCCTGAAGGAACAAATGGGGTATGAACCAGTCGTTGGTCATCAGTTACCATGGGATTGTATCTATTTACGTTGCTCAACTGCCTTGTGGATCAGACCTTCTGGTCAAAGGCTTTGAGTGTGGCCCTCTAAGGAAACCACCTGTTTCGGTTTGGGCACTCGGATAGTATCACAGCCCTCACAAAAATCAGATGAGATTTCTGTGGTGCATATATATCTGGTGCCTTCTTGTACCAATATCTTTATGTTCAAATAAATAATAATAATACTTGACTACCATGAAACACCTGTTGGCATCGAACGACATTTTCGTCCTAGTATGGGACTACAATTTCTACAAACTCTTATTTTTATTGAAAACTGAGTAGCTCTAAATCACTGTTTTGTTTTTATTTGAAGTTCTACCATATTTAGGGCCCATTGTTTAGTTTTTATTTTGGTATTGATTAATGTAATCAATGAGTACATGTACCTTATCTAACTCGTTAGACTCAACAAATCATCACTCATCATTGACTTTTCCTTGTTGATTATTCCTAACTTACTTACTTGCGCCTGTTACTCCAAATGGAATATAGGCCACCGACCAGCATTCTCCAACTCACTCTGTTCTAGGCCTTCTTTTCTAGTTCTATCCAGTTGTTGCTCATTCTTGTCATGTCTGTATCCATTTCTCGAAGTGATGTGTTCTTTAATCTTCTTCTTCTTCTTCTTCTTCTCCTTTGGCCTTGAGGATTCCATATTAGTGCTCGTCTTGTGATGTAGTTAGGTGCTTTCCTCAATGTGTATCCTATCCACTTCCAATGGTTCTTCCGAATTTCTCCGCCTGGACCCCCTATGGGGCTACTGCCGGTTCGAAACCCGGATAAAGGAGGAGGGTTTGGCGCGGGGTTAACGACTCCACCCTGTAGGAAACTAACTCGCTAAACAAAACGCTAACCAGAAAAAATAATTGTGTTTCCTTTATGGAGATTAATCACAATACTCGCGACAAAGTTGAGAGCATCAATGAATTTTTTTAGTGTTTATTTAATGGATGAAAGCTGGATAAAAGAGTGTATTTATAATAAGGATTTCATTCCAAATAGCTGAATATATCATCAACTGCCTACTATGAACGTGTTCGATGAAGTACATCTGGACATGAAGGATCTAAATCATAAATCTAGTAAGCATTGGTGCTTCAAATGATACAAAGAAGTACAAATGATCAGAATGGGGGTTTTGTTGAGATTTTAGTAATTTGATTAATTGAATTCATAAATTACTTGAAGCTAAACCATCATGGAAAACCTGGAAGCACTGGACAACTGTTTGGTCTCAGTATGAAACTCCTCCACAGTGCTCATCTGTGACCCCGACCGCAGGATTCGGACCCGGAACCTATTAAAAAAACAATTTTCTACTATGACATGAATCAAAAGATTGATTGAAGGTGTTTGGTACGACTAACTATGCGAACATTAAAAACACTGTGTGTATGACATTAACCTCCGATAACCACTATCTAAACTTTGAAGTCGTATTCGTGTACAAAACAGTTCATCAAAGTTTGTTATTTAGTGTCCAATTTAATTAACTTTTTTTTCAAATCAGAAGGGTTCTTGTGGATTTTATAGTAATTTCCTGTAGTTCAAATGAAAAGCCATGACCACTGAAGTTCAACCGGGTTTGTTATGAGATAGTAACTCACTGAAGACAGTAGTGGATGTGTTGCTGAATTTCATGGATTAGTTGAAGTTATATATTAACACTATTGGATGCCAGCTCAGTAGTTTAGAGGTTAAGCGTTCACGCGTGAAACTGAAAGGTGCTCGTTTCGAATCTCTCGATGCAGCATTTGGGATACACATTGCCGAGGAGTCCCACAATAGGACAAAACGGCAGTCCAATGCTTCTAGGTTTACCATAATGATCTAACTTCAATTAACTCATGTTGTGCCCTTGGTCTGTCTACCTACTCTTGGTGCTGAGGACACTTATCTAATCCTGATTAAGACCTTGACGCGATAGGCTGACCGACCTCACCTTGAGGCTAGTACGAGTGAGTTCGAGGTGGGGTAGAGAGAGAAGAAAACTATTCTATCACCTGATTAGTTGACAACCACACGAATGAGAGAAGACAAGACAACTGGAACACTACTCGATCTATTCCTGGTATCCTGATTTCCGATTAGTGTAAAAAAGTACATGAATAAATAGGTGACTAACCCGACCACAATGTACAATAATTACGAAAAATACAATCATGTTCAAAACTGGGAATTAGAGTAGAAAATAAGGTGCAAAATGTTATGTTTAAATGACAATAGATTCGGAACAGAAAAGGGGTATGACAATGAATCATACATCGAATGAAAGCTCATGTTCTGTAGAATAGAATAGGGACAAAAATAAATGTCCGAGTTTTACACGCTTTGAATAAAATGAAATAACGTCCCGAAAAATAACTTTCATAGTTTGTCAGGGCTTCCTGTTTCTCTGTTCACATCAACTCATGATCTCAACCAAAATAGATCCTGGGTTCAAATCTCTCAATGCGACATTATAGATACACACTGTCGAGGAGTCCCACAATAGGACAAAACAATCGTCCAGTGCTTCTTTTTTCTGGTTAGCGTTTTTAGCAAGTTAGTTTTCTACGGGATGGGGTCGTTTATCCCATGCCCAACCCTCCTCCTTTATCCGGGCTTAAGACCGGCAGTAGCCCCCAGAGGGACTCCAGGCGGAGTTCCAATGATTCTAGGTTTTCCATGATGATCTAAATTCAATTAACTCATGATCTCAACCAATAGGTCCTGAGTTCGAATCTCTCAATGTGGCCTTATGGATACACACTGTCGAGGAGTCCCACAATAGAACATAAACAATCGTCCAATGCTTCTAACTTTTCCATGATGATTCAACACCGACTAACTGATGATCTCAATAATTGAAATTAGTTTTTACTGTTGTTGTTGTTGTTTATTTTAGGTAAAAATTGAAGAAGAAGAAATGAATTGTTGTTTTCGTTTAAAAACATCAATGTATGGACGAATACGAATATTATTCTTAGATCCTATACATGATAATACATTAATTAAATATGTTGAAGGTGACTTAGGTACAATTATACAAGAATCATTAAAATCTGATCGTTTTAAACAAAATAATCATGAACAAAATTCTTATTTATGGACTGAATCAATGGCAAATTCAAATCAACGTATATTTTATATAGAAACAATAGGAAAATGTAAATTTCGTTTTGGTGTACATCAATTTGTTGAAGTTAATCAAAAAGTACATTTAGAAAATAATTATAATAATAATAACTGATAGTTGCTATGGCAACTATCAGTTTAAACAATATATTATAGGATACTATTATTTTGATCAAAGAAAAACAAAAATTGAATTCAAGTGCATTTCAAATGATCCTTTTATTAATCTATTTGATCCCATATGTATAAAGATCATTGATATTTTTATTTATGTGTTCATTTTCCTTTACAATTTAATATAGTTTGTTTGTTTATTTATTTATTTAAACACATAAACATTGGTACAAGGGGGAATCAGTAATATATGCGTCACATAAATCTCATTCGATATGTGTGTGGGCTGGGATACTGCCCGGGTGCCCAAACCGAAGCAGGTGGTTATCTTAGGTGGCCACACCCCAAGCCTTTGACCTTAAGGTTTGATCCACAAGGCAGTTGAGCATCGTGAGGAGATGCATTCCTATGGTAGCCGGTGACCAACGATTGGTTCGTGTGTCATTTGTACCCTCAGGATGCTGGAGCTCATGTGCACCATTGGTTTGAGATCTAGTTACAGCGTCGGACATTCGCTTTTCATCCTCTCAATTTCGTAAACAACACCCCCGCCACGAGAAAGCAATGAGTAGGACTTCTCTGGCCGTGTGAGAGCCATACCAGGGCATATGGGGGCTAATTTTTTCTGAAACAGAAAGAAGTATCACGTCAGTTGATAGTCGATTGATAGTCAATGGAACTTATACCTGTATATCATTGGTAATGTTCAACTTAAGTTATAAATCTAATATATATATCATTGTAAAGATTTGTAGCTGTTTTACTATTGATCCAACTTGAGTAGGAAGAAGTATATCAATGGAGTTGTAGAGATTATTAAGTTTTTGATTGAGATTATGAAATGATTCATGTTAGATCATCATTGAAAACCTGGAGGTACTGGATGGTTGTTTCGTTCCACAGCATTGTGCATCTACGATTTTACCTCACGGGATTCGAGTCCAGGTCCTACGGTCTGGAACGCGAACGGCTAAACTCTAGACCACTGAGCTGGCCGGCACCTAGTGGTGTTAATGTCTGACTTCAACCAATCCGCGAAACTGCGCGATCATCTTCCATTGTACTAAGGTAGATACCTGTCTCTACTCGACATGGATTAGCTCCACTGGTCACGGTTTCTCATTAGAACTCCGAGAATTCCCTCACGAAGGTAATCAGTATGGGAAACAATTGAGCTTAAATTTATTTTTACACAAAAGTCATCAAAACCACAAAATCACATGCTAACAAAAATTTCCAAACTAAAACCTTGCATATCAGAGATGTTATCAGTTCAAGAAGAAACATTTACTGAACATTTCAAAGTGTTTGATGGAGAGATAATAAACTTATTGAAATAATTCCATCAACACTAAGAATTAGACAAATATGAAACTTCATTGAACCATCAACCGGTCTAAGTTAAAGCACTTTTGAAGACGTGGAAGCACTGAACCTTTAGAAATGTTTTAGTATGGAACCAATCAAGAGTGTGGATCTATGATCTCTTACATAGAAATTCAACCCTGAAAATACGGTCTCGTGCATGGACGCTTAATTTCTAGATCACCAAGTCAGCATCCAAACAATGAGAAAGTCTAGCTTCAAGCAACTCATTATATTTCACAAGCCTTACAAGATTGCCTACTTGGGATAATTGTCTTATACCAGACAAAGCTAAGTCTTGGATTCATACTGTTGAATACTTTCAGACAAGGATGAAACGGTCATCCAGTGCTTCCAGGTTCTCCATGATGACCTAGCCTAAATTGATTCGTGATCTTAACTAGTGAAAAGAAAATAAGTTTGAGTAGGCCACCATGTCAATAGATTCTTTATAATCAGAATGGGTTTTGTGGAGATTTTTTAGAAATTCCACTGGTTGAAATCATGAGTCCATTGAAGCTAGACCACTATGGGAAACCTGGGAGCACTGGACGGCCATTTTGTCCTAAGGTGACACTCCTCAGCAGCGCGCATCCACGATCCCGCCCCCCTGCGAGATTCGAAATCAGGACCTATCAGTCCCGCGCCAGGCGCTTAACCAACTAGACCACTGAGGTGGCATCTGACGGTGTTAATGTCTAACTTCAACCAATCCACGAAGTTGCGCCACCGTACACTATTGTCTTCAGTGAGTTCCTATCTTACAACAGACCTGGTTGAACTACACTGGTAACGACTTCTCACTAGAACTCCAGGAGTATCTCCTGGTTCGAATCTCGCAGGGGGCGGGACCGTGGATGCGCACTGCTGAGGAGTCCCTTACTAGGACGAAACGGCCGTCCAGTGCTTCCAGGTTTTCCATGGTGGTCTAGCTTCAATTGACTCACGATTTCAACCAGTGAAGATTCTTTATTGTTTAAATTAATCAATACGATATATGGTCGAATGTTGTTACATTTAAGAAAATTGAGACATTTATTGTTTAAAGAATGTATCCAAATGGAAATCGATATTAACGTCTTATTGTTTATGTACAGTTATCGTAGACAACTAGAAAAGAAAAAAAACAATATAAATGAAAAATTAAGAGAAAAATCACAAAATATTCATTACTAATCAAAGATGAATGGTGAGTAGAATTGGAGTCCAGTTTGATACGTGTTTCGTCCTATCTGGGACTCATCAATTGGATGTACCTGCATCCAACAGTTGATATTCACTCTGAAACTCGAAACTAGTATAATTCGCTTCAAACATCATCACGTTATCCAATAAGCCATTGAGTCCTGATAGCCACCTTCTTGTGCAATGGGGTGAAGTTTAAATTCATTTGGTATTGTTTGATATGAATCTTCATACTGTTGTTTTAGGACTGTAATTGGTCAGTCTCTTGTTGGTATATGTACATCCTGTGCGTATTGCCTTGATATAGTCTTAAGTCACTAGCTTTTCAAGCAAAAATGGATAGTGGCTAGTAGTGTAATCCACGATGCGCGTTTCACTCTATAGAGACTGATCAATCGCAGTTTTAAACGTCAAAAATGAATTAGAACTTAACCTCATTGCACAAACTACTGGCTATCTGGACTGAGTAGCTTAGTGGATATGTGGTGTATGCTAAGTATATCGACATAAGTAGTACATAATACCAATCAGAAGTGGAATGTCTAGCAGCAGAAAGTTGGGAAGTTCGAATCGAACAGAATGGGGACAGACAGTAATTTTTATGGTAATGAAGGAACGATGAAGTTTGAGATAACTGATGAAAGGTTTGCAAATGATGTATTGAATGTATGGTTTTTATATTTTACCAAATAACTCTGTAACTTTGTATTCAAGCACAATTGGTTGTATCCACTTATGTTCTCATTCATCATAGATAACACATTGACATTTGAAGGGAACAGTACTGAGTTCAAGTCTCGGAGTGAATATCAATTCTGAGATCAGGTACATCTAGCTGACGAGTCTGAAGTGGGACGAAACGCGCATATTGAGGCATCCACACAGGATGCACTTACCAACAAGAGACTAGTAAGCTGTTGCCCCTAATCAACAATGAGAAGGTTCAAGCAAATGACAATGCCACTAATTATTATAAACCATGGAAATTACATTTCGAAATTAACCACTAATAACCATTTTCATAAAGTGTATAAGCTTCATTTTTTGTTGTTGTTGTTGTTGTATCTATTCAATAACATAATTTTTATTTTAAAATTGACTTGTGTAATATGATATCACACAAAAAAATATAAATAAATATGTCCAAGACAAATTGAGATAGTAACTAACTCTCCCCCCTCTCTCGCTCTTACACTCCCCCTCTCTCTCGTTGACATTATCCATTTACCCAACAACAACAACAACAACAACAAAAAACCCTGTAACAATTTTACATATTCGATTGTATAAATAACTGAATATGAATGTGAGTGTGTGTGAATGTGTGCATGGTTACGTTGTTTTATAGCGTTTGTTTTAATATAACGGTGTGTTGTTGCTTGTTTGTTTGTTTTCGATTAAAAATTGTTTGTATTCACTTTAATAATAAGTAAATAAACAAAACAAATAAATAAATAATCACCGAAATTAATTCAAAGTTCACTTGTATTATGGTGAACGAGAACATTAACGAGGACAATCAAGTACAATCTAATGCGATATGATAGAGTAACTTGATAGGGTCTGAGAATCAAATGGTGAATACTTCATTTGTAAAATATTAATCAGTTGTATAAGACTTTATTGTTCTTTCGTTTACACACCAGTAAATCTCTATTCTTCGATCTCCTTAACATTCTGTTGTCATGGATTTTACTTTCGATTGATGATACATACTACTTATATAAGTCGATATCAGTAGCACATACCACAATATCAGTACTCATACTAACACCTTCAACTGATGTCATTGTTGATGTTAAGCACTGAATTTTAATCATCAAATTTGTTCCATTGGACAAACTAGTGAACGTGTATGTTGATTGTAAAGATAGTAGATTCGAGTCCCATTGTGAACATTGACTATTGGAATGCAGGCACATCCAGCTGACAAGTTCAAAAGAGGTTGAAATGAGTGTCACCAATTTCATTGCTAGTCAATATTCATACTTATATTATTGAAATATATTTGGGATAATTGTAGTGAACGAGAACACAAAAGGGAATAATCGAATATATTGGGATGTAACATTACAGAACAGCTTAGTACAATCTGAGGATCATACAGTGAATAGTTCATTTACAATCAATCGTCTTAGACTTCATTGTTCTTTCGGTTCCACACCAATCAATCTCAGTTCTTCGATCTCCTTAACCTTATGTTGCCATGTATTACACTTTCGATTGATGACACATACTACTTATATAAGTCGACATCAGTAGCATGTACCATAGTATTATCTTTCAGATTGAATAGACCATTATCAGTCATTTAAAAATATTTTTACAATGTTTATGAATAAAGAGTAGTAGAGCGAACAATCGTTTTCGATAACTTCTACATCAAGCCCTGCATAGTTATAAATCTAAATTTATTATTTTGTCGATTGTATGATAAAAAAAAGATAATTG